CAGCTGGGGAAGATATTTAGGTCTAAATTTACAGAAAGTTATGTGCACAAATGCTGGTGCAAAAATTGTGTGTGTATTTGTGCATCAAAGCCACATGTAAAATTACCAGAATTACATTACTTGAAAATCTTGCCCAAAAATCTCTCTTTATTTCCATCTAGTCAGTGGGAATATCATTGCCTGCTTCATAGTGGTATTGTGTAGCAACGTTTGCAAAGTTGCTCTCTTCAGGTGAAAGACTGCATAGGTTTAGTGAAAGAAGAATCAAAACCAACAAAGTTACTGTGCAAATTATGAGAATTGGGCCCCTAATGTATCAACATATCTCCACTGCCCATCTCTGTAGTATTTAGGCACTGAATAGAGTGTGTACAGAACATCATGTATGAGAATGCAAAGTACTGTTACTCTCAATAACAGCAGGTGACCTCTTCCCACAATAGGTCTGGGCATTCAGAATAGTTTGCTAGAATCCATCTGGTTACATCCTGGAGGTTTGTAATGGTTATCCTCCCAATTTGGATGTCAGAGAGTTGAAAGCTATTCAGCGTTTACTTACCTCCCCACAGATGAAAAGCTTCTGCAGCCGATGTGCTGATTCCAGCCCTACTGCTTTTCTTCTGTTGTTTTGTCTCCAATACCCTGTCCTTTGTTGCACTGTTTATTGTTTCATAGTTTTAAAATGAAGTCATGGAACTGAAAACAAAAGTGATTCATAAGATCTTCACAAGGTCACAGCTAAAAGTGACAATAAGCTAATGCAAGAAGAGAATGAGTGATGCTTTAGGATCCACATGTTAATAACTATGTCTCAGCAGTTTGATTAGCGGCAACATAGGGCAATCCAACCTTTGTACTTGGGAGGAATGTCTTAACAGTTTCTAATTCAAATGGTTTTCACTGCAAAGACTATCCAGCATAGGCATAAAATGTCTCTTTAGGAGCAGATTCTAATATGCCAACTCATGCTGTATAGCTCCTTAGTCCTTGAATAGCCCCAAGTGAGCTCAGTAGAAGTAAGGGGCTATCCAACATGAGGAATATTAGAGTCTGGCAGTCTCGTATAAGGAACTGTTCTTTAGTGGTAATAGCATGAACAGAACTGCTGAGTTCTGTGTCTTGTTCTGGAATCTGTCTCCTCTGGAATCATCACACTGAGAAGGAGGGTTTCAGAAAATTCCAGCTTTGGGAGGGAGAGGAAGGGAGGATTGTTTTGTTTTATTTACACTGCTGTGGTGTTAACGAGTGATTCTACTTAAAACTGGGAGTAGTTACATTTTGGGGGGCGGAAAGGGGAGGAGAAATCAAACAGCTAAATTGTATGCAATATCTGAGCAGAATTAAACAGAAGGGAAGTCAGTCCACAGTGTCAAATGTGGAACTTATTTTCTACATCTCGTGGATCTGAATTAAATCTAGACCCAGAAGCACAGGATGTTCAAGCAGGCTGAGCACTTGGAGAAAAAAAAATAAGATAGTTAAAACACCAAACCACAGAGAATCTCAACTCCAATGTGTACTGAAGGAAAACCTGGGCTCCTGCCAAGCCTTTCTATAAAACCAAGAGGAGACTTTCTTCTAAAGATTATCTTCTTTATTGGCAAACAGTCCTTTTCTGGGTCTGATTGCTTCACAGGACCTGTCTGTCCTAGTGATGAAATTCAGTGACGAACCTGAGGGTTCTGCAAAAACAGATTGCACCTTTTTGTGAATTATTATGTCTGCAAAAATGCAAACACAGCTAGTTTTGTTCAACAATTCAAACAGATGTCAGGAACATGATAGGCTTATTCCAATTATTTCTTTTGTGCACCACAGACTTCATAGAACATGCAGGAATAGGTCTCTTAAAATGTAACATTTTATTAATTTTCCAAGGTTCAATGTGGTAATTCACATAACGTAAAAAAAAAACCCCACAAAATGTAAACCAAAGTACTGAGACAATACAAGGAACTCCAAACACATACGATTATCCCTGGAAACTTACAAGATTCATATACGACTCTTTGCAGTATGGAAATAATATCAAGATCATGTAAGAAACTCTGATACAAAAGCATGACTGAGCCCTACTAGTCTCTAGGTTTTTTTTCTTCAATATTAACATATAATTTTCAGTCTCGCAATGAGGGATGGAATCAAACTATCATCTCTTTACCTCCATGGGATCTACAAACTGACCCCATAGTCCATGCTTATCACAAGAAAAACAGAATAGCGGAGCACATGCTGGTGGTGACAGTGAAAGGAAATTGATTGTAATTATGAAATAAGGTCACCTTTCTGTCTGTGTGTCAACTGCAAGCCAGCGATAGATATGGGTGATATTTCTCCCTACTGATGCATGAGTGACACATGAAAGTCTTCAAGCAGCAGCTGCTTGCATAAAAGCCAAAGAACATAATCAAAAGCAATAAGCAACTGCCCTTTAGACGGGAGTGAAATGAAGTGGGGTTGTGCAGCTGACTGACAGTTTTGTAACAACAAAAATTAAAAAGTTTAAACTCTATTGTGCTGGTAATGGGCTCATGCTTTTTCTTGTATGGTTTCTACTGCATCTGCGCCCTTTGTGAAAAAATACATACAATGAAGAGGGAAAGAGTAGAAGGTTTTCCTTGCAATTAAGGGCCTGGCCCAGGTCTCAGGAAATCTGAATTCAGTTCCTGGCTCTGCCACTGACTTCTCATGTGAACTGGGGCTGAGTCAGTTCATCTGAGCATGCTTTACTTTCCCCATCTGTAAAATGGGAGTAACCCTATTTCCTCCCTTCCACCCTTCGTCATCTTTTCAGGGCAGGGACTGCCTCTTACAGCATACATGTACAGTGCCTAGAACAATGGGGCCCTGATCCTAGTTTAGATCTGTAGCCTGATCTTCCTCACACAGTAGTCAAAGGCAAAACTCCCACCCATTTCCATGGTGCAGGATTAGGGCCTATTATTTCTATTCTAGTAGTGTATATAGAAGTACAATGGACAGTTTAACTTTGCAATAAGCATAATTCTTTCTAGCAAGGCTAACCCTAATCTTCTCCTCTCTTAATATGGCTTCCATTTCTCTTTTTTTCCAAAGCTATTTGAAACCTGCATCACTCAGGGGCTACAGATAAACATAGGGGCCTCTTGCCACTCTTCTCTGCTGTCTCCTGAGCCAGAAATCTGCTGCCTGGTGTTTGGGGAAGGCAGGTTGTCTGTCAGGGGCCTGGAAGAGGAGGAAAGTGAGGGGATGTGGTGAAGTGAGGTTCCACTCCACCCAGTTCTCCACTTTCTCAGGATCTTCAACCAGTGGTATAAGTTCAAGACTGCAGTTTATGCTGAGGCTGGGCAACTGAGAATCAATAAGCCACAATGAGTTCCCTGTCAGCCTCTCCACTCAGCACTCAAGCTCATTCTGGGGAGTGTATCCCTAGAGAATCTAGATTTCATGGGGCATTATTATCTAACACAAGAAACCACCATTCAACAGCACTCATCTGTCAACATGCCAGTTTACATACTAATAAAACAACGCTCTTTTACAACAGTGGTTCCCAAAGCCGGTCCGCCGCTTGTTCAGGGAAAGCCCCTGGCAGGCCGGATCAGTTTATTTACCTGCCGCGTCCGCAGGTTCGGCCGATCGCAGCTCCCACTGGCCGCGGTTCACCGCTCCAGTGGCTCCAGGTCACTTAAGGATCTCAAAGGTCCTCATGGACATTAATTAAGCCTCACAACACCCATAGGAGGTACGTTTGAAATATAGAGGGATCTCTTTACCCAAACTGACACGGAGCCAGCTTTAAGACAGACTGAGGCAGCCGTTTAACAGGGCACAGGATCATTATGTACCACTTAAGGACAAGATGTAAAGAAGTCGCACCGTAGGTACAGTGGACAGTTTGAATAACTTTTTCATAATAATGTAAATATTCTCCTGAGGAAATGGAAGGAACAAGTAACACCATCAAAAAGTCTTATCTCCAGGTTTCCACTTGCATTTAACAGATATGGGAGAGTCAAATAATTCACAGTATCAGGGGGTAGCGGTGTTAGTCTGTATCTACAAAAACAACAAGGAGTCTGGTGGCACCTTAAAGACTAACAGATTTATTTGGGCATAAGCTTTCGTGGGTAAAATAATAAAAAAAAATAATTCACAGAATCCATTGTGACAGGTTGGATCATAGAAACCCCCTTGGGAACTGCCACCTGATGTGCCAAGACTACTTCTTCCCCTGCTTTCCCACCCTGGCAGCGTAGGACTCCAGCACCCTGCTTTGTTGAGCCAAACACACCAGTCTGCAGCTTTGGGGCACGTGGTTCAGACCCTGGGTCTGTGATGCAGTAGACTGGTGTGTCTGGCTCAACAAGGCAGGGTGCTGGAGTCCTAAGCTGCCAGGGCAGGAAAGCAGGAGCAGAAGTAGTCTTGGCACATCAGGTGGCAGTTCCCAAGGGGGTTTCTGTGATCCAACCCGTTACATCCTTATCCAGAATTTTTGCCGCCAAACCAAACAGTCAGCCTTTGGGCTTACATACTAGTTACAGCACCCTTCTCATGGGTCAAACCTGCCGTGTTCTAGTCATCCCCTCACCTCATGGGCTGTGCAATGAACCAGAAGTTGATAGGAGCTGGAACAAGCGGTGCTGCTACACCACCCGTCATGAAGTGATTTCCCTCATATCCAGGGTTTACAGTTTGGTTCAATGGCTCTCAGCACCCTCACTATACAAATTGTTCCAGCGCCCCTGCAGAGCTTTCAAGATCAAAAATCTTCACATAATAGGGACTGGATTTTTAAAGGGTTTAATTGCACCATAATATGGCAAAATGCACATGGAATTAATGTGACTGCATGGACATACCATAGTGTGTCCAGCTATTTGTGTGCAGAGTTGCTAGATTTGACTATGTAGTCAAGGGAGATGCAAGTGGAAATTCGACAAACAAATGTATATGCATTTGGCACATGCATTTATCCTCTTAACTTTCTTAAAAACCTGGCCCTGGTTACAGAGGCCAAGACATTCAAAAGCAACTAATGATTTTGGGTGCCCAACCTGATTTGGGGTTCCTTGAGTTTTAGTTGCCCAAGAGGACTGATTTCCAAAAAGCACTGAGCTCTCATCCTCTGAGAAAATCAGGCTCCATTTAAAATCTCTTGAGTTGGGAATCCAAGAACTAAGGTTTCCCCAAAATGGCTAGTTTTTTGAAAATCTTGGCCATGGTACATTGACAGATGCTAATGACTACCAATTCTCTCTGATGGATTTATCCACTGGCCGTGGAACAGAAAACAAAAAGTATTCATGGTCAAACAGAATTTTGTGCTATGTGGTGATTGGAACCTCAAAAAATGATTGCATTAAATTAAAAATACAAAGATAAATGCTAATTAGAATCTCTAGACATTGAGAATGGTGAGCAGTCAACATTTAAGACACCTTATGCACCAGAATGAAATAGTTTTTTATGTTTTGAGGATGACTTTCAGATTTGTTGAATTTTAGAAATGTAAAATTAACTGCATCTGTCACATCAACATTGTCTTCCATAAACACCCAGTCAGCATTCAGATTACTACTAGTTAAATATTTAAAGATGATTGCCCTGTGGATCCTGCTGCTTTAATGCCTGCAGACAGCAAAGATTATCTTCTGACCCCACTTCCAAGATCCACAATGTGGGAGAAAGATTTTAAATCAATTCAAGAGTAAAAATAGTTTTCTATCCTTTTAAACATAAAAGGGAAAAAAGTATTCAAAAAATGCCACTGCAAAATTTGGATCATGAGAGGTTGTGTTCAAGATGAAATAGGGAAAGAGTGATAAAAAATTAGGCACAGCAAGATTAGGAGGGGAAAAGTTAGGCATAGGGGTTTCATTACTGCATATGGAATACAGAAAACATACAGTAATAACACAGTGCAGGGGGAATCAACCAGTTGTGCTTGTCTCCTTTTTGTGTCATTTTCTCTCTGTGCTGTATCATTCTCTTTCTTCTCTCTGAAATGTTCAGAGTCTGCAGATCCTGTCACACATTCAAGCACGTTAGGTCTCTTTATCTTCCCCCTCTTACCTATCTTTTCCCCTACAGTTTCAG